ATTGAACAATTTGGAAATAGACATTTTACTACTTAGTGTAGCAAAGTAACACATTTAAAGAACAGTTTACTCTTTTCACTAGTCTATACTAGAGATCAGTTTCCAGAATAGAAACACCAAATGTATTAAGGAATTTTGCCTACAATAACATTTACAAAGTGCTTTCAGTGATTACATTATCTCGATCCTCTTTACAATTCTCTGAAATGGGTAAGAGGGTAAATATGTTTGTCTCACTTTACCTTGATGAAGGCGAAAGAAAGTTAAAAAGTTGACTTAAAAGTTGACTTAACATTCAAAAAACTAAGATCATGGCATCTGGTCCCATCACTTTGTGGCAAATAGATGGGGGGAAATGGAAACAGTGACAGACTTTATTTTCTTGGGCTCCAAAATCACTGCAGCCACAAAATTAAAAGATGCTTGCTCCTTGAAAGAAAAGCTACGAAAAACCTAGACAGTATACTAAAAAAAAAGAGACATCACTTTGCTGACAAAGATCCATATAGTCAAAGCTATGGTTTTTCCAGTAGTCATGTACGAATGTGAGAGTTGGACTGTAAAGAAGGCTGAGTGCTGAAGAACTGATGTTTTCAAACTGTGGTAACTGGAGAAGACTCTTGAGAATCCCTTGGACAGCAAGGAGATCAATCCAGTCAATCCTAAAGGAAATCAACCCTGAATATTAATTGGAAGGACTGATGCTGAAGCTGAAGCTCCAATTCTTTGGCCACCCAATGCAAAGGGCCAATTCGTTGGAAAAGACCCTAATGCTGGGGAAGATTGAGGGCAGGAGGAGAAGGGGTGACAGAGAATGAGACGGCTGGATGGCATCATCGACTCAAAAGACACTAGTGTGAGAAAACTCCAGGAGATGATAACGGACAGGGAAGCCTGGCATGCTGTGGTCCATGGGGTTGCAAAGAGTTGGGTACAACTGAGCGACTAAACAACCGATGAAGAAACCAAAACCCAGAGAGGTGGGTTACCTTCCTGTGTAATAACTTGTTGCTAGTATTCTACTAACAAGGAACAGAGCCAGATCTAGTGCATTTACCCTACATCAAAGCTACCCCAGGAACTATTCAGTGATATGAAATAACTCTGAATCTCAAAACCCAGCATTCCTTGGCTAAAACATTACTTTCCCCCGTAAGGATACCATTTCTCTGCACTGTTAAGCACATTAAAGGAGCCTATTAGCAGTTATGAAGTTCAAGCCACTGTCTAATTGGCTTTGGAAATACTGCCCCACCAAAGATGCAAGAGCATGCAAAGAGAGCACTAAGGACTGAAATTATAGCAGAGATTAAAATTATGCTAAATTAATGCACTTCTCGGTTGTAGCATTATGAGCAAGTGTTATTGTGGATAAGGCTTCTATTTTTTCCTATTGGAAACTCCATTCTCTTTAAAAGATCAACAAGAAGAACCAAAAGGGAATTCCCTAAGGTCAGCTCTGAGGAAACATAAACCTCTAATTCAATAACTCTGCTACTGCTCTGAAAAAAAGGCTTTATTATTGCAACATCCATATGGAGCCAATTGGACATTAATGACTAATCAATCCCTCCCCTTTCTATTCTACTTAAAGTGTCACAAACCATGTTTAGATTAGCCCATTTCCTGCTTAGGGTTGCTCAAGATGTCTTTTGTTCTTTCAGGACCAGCCTGATGGAGGCAGCTTAAACAAACACCACGACCAGAGTGGCGCAGGAGTTATAAAGTGCCATATGTGAGTGAACAAAGGGGCTATACTAAAGCCTTTTGTGGTATTTGTTAATGTTTTTCATCTGAGCTTAAAAAGGCTTAATGACTTTGTGGTGAGCTGATGCATGTGGCTCGTGGCTTTGCAAAATGAAGGAAATTCTAACCAGTGATGTACCAGTCTGTGTTTCCAAGAGTCTCCTGCTTTCAGTTTTGGTGCCCATGTTTACTTTTTCCTTTTAATTCTCAAGTTATATTTGCTTTACACAGACAGCTCAACAGAGCCCTTTATTTTATTTCAACTACAGGATCCAAGGGCAACTGAGATAACTTATGTGATTCTTTATTTTAATGACCTGAAGGTAACAGAGAACCTTCAAATATTCTACTTATTATCTATTTGCTATTTGTATGCACAGGAGGAAGGCTTAAGAGCTGTTGAGCCCAGGCAATAAGGCATTCTTTAAGTCTGAACCAGAGACCACTGTGCAGGAAGTGAGACCATAACAGGCTCTGGCTTCCTAAATTTTCAGGAGAACCAGGCTCAGATTAAAGCAGATTCCCTTGGAGAACACAGAATCTGGTAAAAGGCTTTACTTAATAATTCATGTTGCTCAGCAGTTTCTGGCTTCATCCAACTCAATATATTACCATAGACTCTACATGAAATTAAGAAGCACAAACCAAGATGAAGCAAATCTCGGAGTTAGTTAACAAAGATACTGTTAAACCCATCCGCTCATATCCATCCTTATCACTTCATCGATTGCCTTGCCCTCACTGTTTCTTGTGGACTACCTGAAATACTAGTTTTATAGCCGATATTTTTATTTCCAGTTTCGAGTTACCAGGCCCCACTTAAATACCTCTTCCTAATTTCAGCCAGGGTGATCCATCACAAGTGCAGTTCTGACCAGGGCACTCCTATATATATTAGAGTTTTCAATGGCTCCCTAATGCCCAAAAGATGAAGTCTAAACTCCTTGGTATGGTACACAACGCTCTCAATGACCTGGCTCATGTCATCCATGGAACTGTCACGGCTCCAGTTCCATCTCTGGCTACTTGAATTTTTTTTTGCTTTATAATACTAAACCACTTCTAGTTCTCTATACACCATCTTGTTTTATGCTAGGAACCCATGCTTTCCCCTTTCCTGGAATTTCCTGTCTGTTTTGCTATCAACTCATTCTTTGACTCATGTCAGGGATCATCTTCCCCAGACAGTTTTATCTGGTCTGTTATGTTGGGCTAAGTACTTTAGGCTCCCACAGTACCCTGTGCCTATCTTACATTTATTATATTTTATCCAAATTGCCAGTTGCATGGGCCCACCTTCTTCACTAGACTATGCACCTCAAAAGGGCAGGAACTGCACTGTGTCTTGCTCAAAACTGCTTCCTCAGGGTCTGGGACAAGAGCTGGCATAAGGTAAGTACTCAACTGTCATAACAGAGAGCGTCAGATATCTTCAACAGTGACAATTTTGGAGTGAGATTCAGATGTTTACACATTGTATTAGAACCCAAGAATCTCTGAAATCAGATTTTGTATAAACGTCATTATATTTCTTATATTCTCTTAAGTACTTTGTCTTACTTGAACCCTCTGTAAAATCAAAAATGGGTTTAATGGGAATATGAACCCACAGTTGTTTGGAACTCAGAGATCATTGGTTCTAATCTTCTTTTATTGACTTTCCACACTGTACAGTTCTGAAGTCCCAGCCTCCCACTTTCAGGGAAATCCTGAAAGGATGATAAGGCAAACCTGAGCTTTTTTGAAATAATAAATCTAAAGCTATTCTAAAGCTCTGGGGTTTGTGTAAATACAACTGAAGCATACAGTCAAACAGGCACATGACAGGACCTTTCCTAGACAGAGTCAATATGAAATGGATAAAACATGTTCATAAAATTAGAAATTTTTAACATGAGATGGATATTAAAGATCATCTAATCCACATCTGAGGTTAGAGAAGTTAAACTGCCCAAGTCTCACAGTTAGTAAATGGCAAAATAACAGTAAACTGAAATGTAACTACTCCCAAAGGTTCACACTTGCCATCAAAATTCATTTCTAAAATGGTCAGCTGAATTGTTTAACAGCATCTAGACTTAGCTTAAAAAGTCAACAAAACTAATTTGATTGGTGTCTCCTTTTCATTTCATTTGTCCCAGGAAATCTGCCTTTTACTAGAACAAGAGATGCAGATCATAGGTACAGTAGAAACCAATTTTTTTTTAAGGTTGGGGATATGGAAATAGTATTAGAAGGAGATGGCTCAAGGATTTTGGGTAGCTAACTGAATTTTGTAGTCTATCAAAAATTCTTTGTCCTGAGATTTGGTGAAAGTATCTGAAATGTACTTAATATCTGCGTGGTTTGAAAGACTAAAAAAAAAAAAATACTTTCACGAGTTTCTACTTCTCATTATATTTTTCTGAGTTTTAATGAAAACCAACAGGAAATGGGAGTCAATATAGCTCAGACAGTATATAGCTAGACAGATCTGGGTTTGAATTTTAATTTGATCCTTCCTAAATAAGTAACCTTGGGTAAATTATTTCCTACCTCTGAACAACAGTTTCATCTCCTTATAAAAGAGAGCTAATAACTTCTGCTTTTCTGAGTCTTTGTGAGCATTAAGTAGGAATGTATATTTCTTAGCAGTGACTGGAACACAGTACTCACTCATTAAACAGTAAATGCCCTTAGAAACAGCAGTAGTAATAATGGCAAGAGAAGTAGTAGAATGTCTGTTCTAGTACCAAGAACACAGCAGGTGCTTAACTCACAGGTGTTCCCTTTCTAGTCCTTCCTCATACCTGGGTGATATTTCCTATACTGCACAGTTCTGTCCTTCAGGGTAGTTGCCAAATGAAATCTTAGCTGGCGAGTGCAATTTACTACTTAGTGGAGCTTCTTTTCTGCCCCAGAGCTAAAAATATATTTCAAGAGTGTCCTTGATATAGAACTAAAATACATCGAATATGCATAAGACACAATAAAAAAGAAACTCTTACATCTCCCCAGTTCCCACTTGTGGGACCTGTAGCCAAACTATGCTGCTCAGTTCAAGCCAGGAAAAAAAAAAAAAGGGAGAAGAACAAACCACTATCTTGTGAATTTATAGCTTTTTACAATGGACTCACTGGAATAACAAAGGATTAAGACTATCACCTGTGTAATAAGTAAAGCGCAGTGGCGCTTCATGGACAGTGGACAATTGTTTTCCCTTTCTCCTCTATTAGCTGTTCTGTGGTTCTGCAGCGTGGAGTAGCTGCTGTTACCCTTTTTCATCTTGTCCTCATGCAGGATCAACCTGCTGAATGAAAAGTGAGCTTATATTGAAGAAGTATGAAGTGATTTCTCCACCATGAAAGTAAATATACATATACCAGTAAGCTGTAATTTTTATTTTTAGTAAAAATTTTAAATCGTTGAATATATTGCTTATGAAATTCTTCTCTCCAGGGCTGAGACTTGGGATATTGTTTTAGTTCAGAATTACTTTTTACAGCCTATTCCTAAATGTAAAAATCTACAATATAGCACAAATACTGATGAGTTCTTACACAATCTCTTCCCTCTGGTACCATGACCTAATTTGGGACATCATGTCTAAGGGTAAGTATCCACTGAACAAAAACAACTAAAAAAAAAATCACTCTCCTCTAGTGAGAGGCAAAAGTATAAGACTGATTTGTAAAGCACTGAACAGTCACAGCAGACAAAGTGAAATCATATGTAAATGAGTATTATACCCAGGAGGAAAATATGTATTTTTAATATGACTTGAATAAAAATCCTCCTAACACCTACTCAGCTCTCTCATGATGTAATATGAAAAGATAACCATTGAATATCCCCTCTGAAATGATGAGAACAGAGAAATAAAGATAAAGAGACTAACAGATCACCAAATCAACCTAACTTCTGCTTTTCCATTATTTTCAACCTCTATACGTAATTGAAGTCAATCTTGAACAACTAAAGGTTAATGCCTGTTTAGTTGGTGGCAAAGCCCAAATTCCTCAGCCTTAGTTCTGTGGAACTCAAGGCCCTAGTTCTATGGAACCCAACTATTTTTTATAACATATTCAATTCAACAAATATTCACTGAATACAAACATGTGGAAAGTTTTGTATTGGGCTTGGTGGAGAACACAGAGATGAGAATTGATTCTTTCTTTCTGAAACTTCCTTATGAATGTCCGTGTGCTTTACCATTTCTGAGTCTGTTTGGATTATTCATTCCCTCAACTGAAAATTCTTCTCTTTCTCTTTGTTTTTCCAAACCTAGGCTTATCTCCAGCTCTATTTCTATCAAGTCTTCCAGAATACCTGCTATCAACAAAGCACAAATAGCACTCTTTTCTGTTTCTCTAACTTATCTAAATAATTATCTAATAATAATTTATCATTTATATCTAATGATACATTTAAACACATAGCACTTTAGGTTGTTCTGCTTTCTGTGTATGCCAATATAATCACCCTAGCTACATTACTAGCTCTTGAAGAATACGGTACAGTCGATCTTTCAAAAATCCTTCTCTCCATGTCCTTAACAGCGCTGTGCACACAAGAGATAATCAGTAAATTATAATTTGAACATGTGGGTAAAATTAAAGATTGGGGGACTCTTAGTAGGGATAGATCCTGTTTGCAAAGACTGAGCTAGTAGTTGGTGGCTTAGTCTACAGAGTAGTGTTGTGTCCAGCTCTTTGTACTGTACTGTACATGTACTGTAGCCTGCCAGGATCCTCTATCCATGGAATTTTCCAGGCAAGAACACTGGAGTAAGTTGCCATTTCCTATTCCAGGGGATCTTCCTGATCCAGGAATTGAGCCCACATCTCTTGCATCTGCTGTACTGGCAGGCAGATTCTTTACCACTGTGCCACTTGAGAAGTCTACAGACTATCACTTCTAAAGATTATGAAATAAGAGATAGTATGTGCAAACAAACAGTGATAGGCAAGCAGAGTAAAAAGAGACAATGAATCTACAAGAAGAAAATATTCAAAGATAAGAACTTCTTAGTTAAAGAAAAAAAGATGGCAAGTCACTAACAGAAAACCAGAGAACTGGGTGGTTATTGGACTTTGGGGATAAGCACAATTATCAGAATTTGAAAAGAAGGAAAGGATCAATCAAAAAAAAAGAAAAAGAAAAAGTTTGGTCTCAAATTCAATCCTGACCTTAAGCAGAGATAACTTAAAGAGCACACCAATTGCCCTGAGGCTCTTTAAATTCCACCAGCCTAAAGTGAAGTCACTCAGTTGTTTCTGACTCTTTGTGATGTCATGGACTACAGTCAGGCTCCTCCATCCAATGGGATTTGCCAGGCAAGAATACTGGAGTGGGTTGCCATTTTCTTCTCCAGGGGATCTTCCCAGCCCAGGGATCAACCCTGGTCTCCCGCATTGCAGCCAGACTCTTTACCATCTGAAACACCAGGGGAGGCCAAGGAAGCCCAAGGTCCACCAGGCTAAGGTTGGGCTGAATTAAGCGGCTCTTGGTGCCAAGAGAAGAGGATTCTGAAACAGGGAACACTTCAACAGTCAGTCACTACACAGTCCAGACCTGGCAGGCAGCCCTCTATCAGCCAGCGTTTATTCTAATATGCTGGTTTATGTGAAGCAGATGTACATACTGCTGAGGAAGCATAGACTCGCTTTCCCAATCCCATTGGGAACATATGCTGCTGCTCTTGTCCTGGGTCTAATTTCCATGGTAGATAGCATTAAATCTTTTGCCACCCCATTGCTATAGCAAGATAGGGGGGCAGGGGTACTTCTGTGTGATTCAGTAATGGCATAGACAAGCATTTCTTCCCCAGAACAGAGGATATTCAGTTAGAAAACTAGATAATTGTGTGTGTGTGTGTGTGTGAATGACGTTTCTTTAAAAAGGCAGCCCAAAGAAAAATAATCGGCTCTTCGGGCTAAGATCCTCACTAAGGGGATGCTGCGTCTTTGACTGGGCTCTCCAGCTTAAGCAACTCTGAGAGGTAGGTTGAGTTCTCTTTATGGAGTATTAGGGGATGGAGTTATACAAGAATCTTGACATTTCCTTCTCTTGTCCCATCAAGACGATCCATCACTTTGAGAGTTCAATGGAAATTGTTTTCTACCAACATTAAAAGTTATTTGGGAGCTTTTAAGACACAGCAAATATATTTCTTTAAGAGAAGTTTATTTGCTTGTTTAAGAGAGCTGCACTTTATATATAGTGCTGATATAAACTGGTGCACAGGATCCTCTAAAACCGTTTATATCCACAGTAAAATACATTTTTGTGATACTCATACCACAGACTTAGTCCAGAGCCGAGGGCTTTTTGAACTCTGCTTATCTCCCAGCCTTTGTGGCTGTTACTTAGTCTTCACCAAGTCCTAGGTCTCCCTGGCCACACATCCTTGCCTCAGACCTCAGCCTGCTGGCTCCATATGGACTTCTTTGCCTATTCATTTCTCTAAGATGCCTGGAAACCCGTGGAAGGCCAGACCAGGAAGTCCACAGCAAGGTTCTGGCTAGTGCTCCCTTCTCATTTACCTGGATTTTAAAATAATTTTAATATGTATAGTTCCCCATCTTTTATTCCTGGTATACAGTCTAGTATTTAAATACCTTCTTGGACAAAGACATCTCATCTCGGGTATATTTCAATGATAATTTCACTTATATTAAAGACTATGTGGTCCTCATTTTACACTTGTTACATTCTGGCTGACTTAAGGTGAATGATTTCAATTGTATGGTAGTAGGAAAAAGAGTTAAAGAACTGTAGACTAGAAATTACCTAGACCAACTTCTTCAACTACAGATGAGATAATTCAGGAAAAGAACATGACTTACTTAGAATGGAACAAATGGAAGTTGAGTTTCCTAACCCTTTAGGAAATACCTGAAGGAGTGTCTTGTGGAGAAATTGTAAGCCTTATTTTGTTGGAATCCAAAAGTAAGACTAGAACCAATGAGTAGAAGTTGTAAAAAAGCAAAGACAAATAACAAAGAATTAATAATTAGAACTAGAATGAGTTTCTCAAGAAGTAGTCAGTTTTCTGTCATTATACTATTAGAGGCATTTGAACAGAAGTAAGATGACTACTTGTCAGGGATATAGAAAGGGATTTCTTGGATGGAATTGTCACTCTGATTACATGTCTCTCCTTTATTCCAGTTCTGAGAATCTAAGTGTTGTGACGTGAAGCACTATATCTGGTGGGCTTGAACTAATAATGACCCTTACATTCCAAAGTATAAGCAGATGTAGTCTTTAAATCTGTCCCTAGATTATATTCTGGTTTGCCTCTGCTGCCTTGGATGAGCCCTGTATCATCAAGTCAATCTTCCTTCTCTGCCAGGAGTAAAGAGCCAGGGAAGAGAAAGGAAATGAGAAAAGCTTCAGAGATTTCCCAAAGTATGGATCAAAGGGTAAGCAGGATTTTTAAGAGAAGACATTCACATTAAGTGGTGCATTTTTTAAGGAAAAAGGAAAAGTTGCAGTCCCTGTTATTTGTCTATAAACAGAGAGCTTAGGTTGACAAAAATAAAGCTATCTTGAGATTTAAAACGTAGAAGCAATCAGAAGTTCACACACAAAAAATGAAGCTTTCAGAGGGTTAAGGCCATCTTGGCTGGGATCCAATTCACAAATTCAGTACAAATCTATAAAACCTTTCTAAGCAAATCTGAGAGCAACTGTTTTCTAAAAGGGGCTATTCTTGGTACACGTATCCATTTCCATTCAAATCAATGCAAGTTTTTAATACATGGAGGACAGCACATCATTACAGTTCCAACCCAGGGTCCAAAAGCCTGCCTAATGATAATCACTCTCAGAGCTCATCCCTTTAAGAGCTCATATTCCACTATGCCCCACGTCAAAATGAGGTGTGGCCTCCCTCTGCGACTGGGACACAGTAATTAAATTCGAGAATTAAAAGAAGTGTTAGAGGAATGTTTTCTTAACTAAGCTATTTAAAAAAACAGAAAAAATAAAAGTGTGTGAGAGAGAAGAAACAGAATGGAAAGAATACATTGAAAAAAAAAAGAGGGCAAGCTACCACTATTGTTGCTGGGGGAAGAAAAGGAGAAGAGAGGGAAAGAGAAAGGGAGCGTCCACCTGTGAAAGTAACTGGGAAATACTACTAGAGAGATCTTCTCATTAATAGAAAGAAAAGATCAAGGGACTCAAAAATTCAATTCAGGAAGGTATTGGTCTCCTCTTTTATTTCTCTAAAGAAAAAGAAAGAAAAACTAAATGAAAGCTATCGTGGACTGATCACCTTTCTTATATGAAACACCTTCTGTTTCATGAAGGCCCTAATAGCAATCTTGCATTTGGAGGGAACCCTAGAAATAATGGAGGACT